ACGAGTTACGATTATACACTGCACTGTTATAGTTCGAATCCCGCTGGGGGTGTTGATAAGATCTAGGCGAGTTTGAAACTGCAGTCCACTCTGGATAAGAATAACTTTTGGGAAAACAAGGCTATGTAAAATTCACTGGAAATGTCATGTCTTCTGACATCATTTTTTGGAAAATTCAACCAACATAACCCTTATAATCACAAACGAAATATGCTGAATGCATCTCATATATATATATATAAATATATATATATATATATCTACTAACTGTCTCGAATGCCCACTTATAAACGAAAAATATTTCCATAAGTTTTAACATTTATTGTATCGCCTAATTTGGGGATTTTGCTTAAAAACCAATATATTGCGTTTAGAAGACATCATTCTGTTCAGACGCTGCTAACGTTATAAGATAACGGTTATTATTCCCTACTTTCTTGCCAGTTTGCCTATCCTCTTAAAATATTTTGTTCCTCATAAACCTGACATCGTTTTCAATACAGCCTAGAAGATAATTATCATTAGTTGATAATTGTTCGATTATACCAAGCTAAATTTTCCAGTGGTCAATATACATTCATTATATATTTTAATCTAGTGAATATGGTCTGGATAAAGTCAGCACATGTAGTTTTACATACACACACACCCACACGTGCACGCACGCGCAAACATATTTTTACCCTCAATCCTGCAAGACCGTTTAAAATCTTTAATAATACTTAATATTACCATTTTTACCAATATTTTAATATTCTATTCAAGGTACAATGTTACTTTCCTAAAATCATGATTAGCAATATCGTTGCTCTCTTAAGTGTCCGTACCAAAAGAGTTGAATTTGAGTCTCAGCAGGATAAAATTCCCAGTCATGGAGGTCAATTTTAATGAGTTCCTTCTACCATCACCCATCATGTATTTAGGGAATGATGAAAACTCATTCATTATTCATGCCTACCAAACCGTCTGCAAGATGCTCAGCTCATCTGGTACCAACTCCAGCTCGACAGCGCCTCGCAGCCTTACCATACAGTTGACGCCTCCACGGGCTCGATTAACTGATGTCTCGTGAGACACTTGCACTCGGCGTGGTGACGACAGTCCAGAACCGACAGAAAGACCTCGCAGAGTCGAAGCCAGACGAGACATACCAAAGTTATCAGTCAAGTTGGCTAGTAGACCGGATGCTCTGAACTGTCCTGGACCTCTCTCAATTTGCCTTAAATTTGCGTCAAGCAGATCTGTCACTTGGTCATTGTGGATCTACAGAAAAGAAAAGTAACGAAAGACAAACATCAAAAAATGAGCTACTTAATCGGCTTGCGAGTGTAGTGAAATTATGGAAAAAAGCTCTTAGGGCAGAAGACATAAAAGTTAAATTCCTAGGTTTTCGAAACTACCAATAATGTTGTCGATTGTCATAACAAATATAAGTTTGCTTCATCGATGATTCCAACACAGAATGTGATATGGAAAATGACTGTTATTCCTTGAAATTCTCATCTGCTCTGTGGCACAATGTCACTTGTGGCAGAGTGGCGTAGTGCTTAACGTTTCGAGAGTATACTCCTCACTTTCATGGTTCGACTCCTGCCTGGAGTGTTGATAAGACCTATGCGAGGTCGAAACTCCTTTTGGAAAATCTTGACTGTGCGAAATTAAATGGAAACGTCAGCTCTACTCATATCATTGCGGAAAAACTCAACTACCAGTCCTTCATCATCCTAAACGAAATAGTGAGAACATAGATCATAAATGTTACTATAATAATATCCCTTCCACAGCTATTTTAAAATTATCTCCAGAATAGAAGCCAGTTTAAGACTAAACTTAACTAATGCGAAGAAAAGTTGGGTTTCGAGGAATCTCTTGTTTCATAATTGTTGTGCTTACTTCCATTTCGAGTGAA